GAACTAAACTGTTATTAATGGATGTCCTTGTACAGGACGTACAAGGAGCTCTGGTAGCGTAGTGGTTACGAATCGGGCTGTGAACCTTAATGTCAGCGGTTCGAAACTACCAGCCACTCCGCGGGAGAAAGATGAGGCTTTCTACTCCCATAAAGATTTACACCCTCGGAAACCCTGTACAGGGTCGCTATGGGTCGGAACTGACTTGACGGCACTTACAACAACATAGCTGATTTAGATTTCTACAATCTTTACCAAATTTCCTTTTTCTATGCCAGGATCCCATCCAGGACCTTATGTCACATTTTGTAATCATGTCTCCTTAGGCTTCTCTTGACTATGACAATTTCTCAGAATGTCCTTGTTTGTGATGACCACACAATTTTGAAGAATCCTGGTTAAGTACATTATGTGCTGGTGGTGGTGGTGGTGTCATGGAGTTGGGTCTGCCTCATAGCAACCCTGCATAGTGTTTCTGAGGCTGTAAATCTTTACAGGAGTAGAAAGCCTCATCTTTCTTCCATGGGATGGCTGGTAGTTTTGAAGTGCTAACCTTGAGGTTAACAGCCGAACTCATAACCACTATACCTCTATTGCAAATTGTTTGATGTTTTTTTCTCATGATAAAACAACAACAAAACCTCAGTTGCCACTGAGTTGATGCTGACTGTTGCTCACCCATATATGTTAAAGTAGAACTGTGTCCCCTATTGGGTTGTCAATGACTGTGATCTTTCAGAAGTAGATCTCCACACCTTTCTTACCAAGCACTTCTGGGTGAACTTGAACCACCAACATTTCAGTTAGCAGCAAATGAGTTAACCATTTCACCTCCCAGGGCTTCTTCTCATGATAAGAACAGGGTTGTTGGACTCTTAGGGATCTCTGGGTGATGCAAACCATTAAGTATTCAACTACTAACCAGAGGTTGGTAGATTGACTTTATACAGAGGCACCTTACAAGTAAGACCTGGTGATCTGTTTCCAAAAGATCACCGCCATTGTAAACCCTATGGAGAGCAGTTCTGCCCTGAGACACATGAGCTCACCATGAGTTGGACTTGACTCAGTGGCAACAGGTTTGGTTTCGGGTTTAATTTTATTAGATTCTTATACATTTTTAACATTGATTTTCCAGTTCTAGCAACTACCTGTGTGGCACTGTAAGATAAACACTGGACTGCTAACCTCAAGTTTGGTGGTTCAAACCCACCAGCCACCCCTTGGAAACCCTATATAGAGTCAGAACTGACTTGATGGCACTTAACAACTTCAGCATAAATCAAGCAACAAAGGTACAGGACGTACAAGGAGGAGGGAAAATCAGGGCAGACGCTCTATGATTTACCAAGATCTGAGAAGCAGTACCTTTATCTGATTATGGGAGTGCTTCCAGGCTGGGGACAGAGCCCTGGCTGTTTGCCAATGAGTATCAGACTTCAGGAGCAGAGGTTGGACTCCTGGTGGAAGCAGGGTTAGGGCACCAGGGCTGGACAGTCATGTAGCTGGACAGATAGAGTCCAAACAGGCTTTCAACAAACTACCTTCAGAGTTGTATGCTTTCATGAGTTCTTCAATATTTATTTAGTAGGGAGGGGAAACCAATTTTTATCAATCAAAATTACATGTAATAACAGATACACTTGACACTGACAGCAGGAAAATCAAAGTCCTGGAAAAAAAAATTCAGCAAACCATACCTCATATTTTGTACCTTGTTCTCCTGTCAGTGTTTTGGTTTGTTTTGCAATGTTTTAGACAGGCTGTTCCTGGAATGCATACTAAAAAGTTTGACAACAGGCAATAAAACAAATCCTATAGCGTAGTGGTTATGAGTCGGGCTGCCAACCACAAGGTCAGCAGTTCAAAACTACCAGCTGCTCCACGGGAGAAACATGAGGCATTCTGCTCCCATAAAGATGTATAGCCTTAGAAACTGTGTGCAGGGTCACTATGAGTTGGAACCAACTCCACGGTATTTAACAACAACAACAACAGCAACTTTCTTATCATTCAGATGGCCATCTTTGGTCTCAAGTGGTCATTTCTTGGCCTAAGGGTGGTCCATCTCTGGTCTTTAGGTGATCAGTCTGTGGTCTCAGGTGGTCTTCTGCTGATCTTGGTTAGTTAGCTACTGGTCTTAGTCATCCATTGATCTCGGAGATGAACACCCATGCTTGGCCCCTGGCTTGTTGACCACAGCAAGACCCTTAGGTCAGCCCAGTGGCTTTCCAGCAGGGAAACCCCAGAAGTAGACTGTCCCCTGTTTGTTCAGACCAGAGAGAGCTACTCACTAGGCTTAAATTCATCCTCTTTGTCACAATGGGTCCCTCTGGGATTTCCCTAGGGCCCTAGGTCATGACATAAATGACTTCCAGCCTAAGGTCCCATGGCCCTGGAGAAAAGGGGTTGTCCTGCTGGGCACTGATACCTCAATATCTTGCCCTTATTTCCCCAGTAGGCCCATAGGGAGATGTCCCCTTCCACATGGGTGTGAGGTCTGATTCCTAGACTCTGTGTTTCCCTGTATAGACCTCCCCAGCTCTGGGCCTCAGTTTCTTCCTTGATAATATGATCAACACTTGGGTTGCCAAGCAAGGACTAGGTGTCTCTGGTTCTGAGTGTGTTGTAGAGTGCATTAGCCCTCCATGGCCACCACACCCAGGAAGCCACCACATTTTACAGGTATGTCGTTGGAGGCCTGGGGAACTGTGGCACCTTGATCCAGTTTATTCAGCCAGTCAAAAATAGTGCTAGGAATCCAGAATGCTGGATTCTGCCCCAGAACAATAAATTCCCACATTCCCTCAAGATGACTTCTATTAATAAGACAGATTTAAGATACCACACTCCCACCCAGACCACAGACATGTGAGATGTCAGTGGCCGCATTCCGGAAAGAATTCTGGCTTGTTGTAAACATTCTCACCCATGTACTGGTGGGAAGGGACAGCTAATGTCCCTCCTTCCCCACCCTGTCTCTCTCATAAGACATATCTTGCTGTCACATGGGGTCATTCATTTACTCATGCAGCAAACATTTGCTGATTTCCCACTAAGCCTGGTGGGGCCCCAGGACCCAAGCATGAGTCACAAGTGTGGGGTCCTGCAGGCTCCCACAGGCCCTCTGGTCCCTCCCTCTCTCCACAGCCCTGTGTGTCCTAGTCCACATTGGCCTTGGTTTCCATCACTCTGGCTCCTGCCATTTCCTCTTCTGTCCCTGGACCTCTTCCTAAGGAGTCACAGACACTCCAAACACATAGTGTTCTCATGGTCTACCAGTTCCTGCTCATCTTCCTGTGCCTTTCAGAGAATGGTTACACCTGTCATCTGGTCACCCACTAGACCCTGGATTACTTGTGCAGCTGTAACAGGTCATCCCAAGCTGGATGGCTCCAAACAACACAACAATTAAAACCACGATTCTGTTGGTGTTCTGGAGTATAGAAATCCACAATTATTATCACTGGGCTGAAATCAAACTGTGGGCAGGGTCGCGCTCCCATCAGAGGCTCTAGGGTAGAATCTTTCCTGGCTTCTCCCAGCTTCTGGTGGCTGCCGGCATTCCTTGGCTTATGACCACATCACTCTAATCTTCAAGGCCAGCATTTCAAATCTCTTTCTGCTTCATCTTTACATAGCGTCCTCCTCTTTATATCAGTTTAGTGTCCCTTGTGTTTCTATTTAGGGCCTAGTGGACCTGTTGTTTATCTCCAGGGGGCCTGCAGTGCCCTCTTCCAGCTTTCTGTGCTCATTCCTATTCCTCCAGTCCATTTTCCTGCAGCTGCCGGCATGTTCATGAACACAATTCCGGTCCAGAAGCCTTCAAGACTGTCCAATACCCTTACTCAGTGGTCTTCTCTGTGATGTGCCACTCATTCTCTTTGCCTTCTCTGCTCTCATTCACCAAACCAGACTCAGCCCTTTGAATAGGCCGTGGTCTGCTTTTGCTTGTGTGTACTTCTGTCTGGAGCACCATCTAGAGCACTGCCCAACTCTTTTGCTTGGCCAGTGCCAGTTACCCTTCAGGTGTGGGGTGAATTTTGGGTGGATTCACCATACCTATGAATTCCCAGATCCCCAAGTCTAGGTCTAATGCCTTTGCTCTTTGCTCCCCTGGGTAGTGCATCATTACTACCCTCACTTATCACTAACATGCACTTCCTTATGAGTAGCCTGTGTTACCTCCGGGAATGTCACCTCCACAAGGGCACCAGGGACTGTGCCAAGTTTAGATGGCTCTCCAGTGGCCAACTTGGACTGCACACTAGTAGGAGATGCTCAGTAAGCCCTGGGAGAGGGTGGAAAGGATCTCTGTCTCAAAACTTCCACCTGGTGATGGGACCCAGAGAGTAGCTAGGCACCCCCCTCACTGCCTACAGAGCCATTTGATACCCTGCCTTGTCGGGATGGGTGGGTGACAAAGGTCTTCTGGATAGTTTAGATGCAACTGAACAGCACGGTACTAGACATCTGGGTGTGTGGTGCCAGGTGCTGCAAGCTCGGGGACCGAGGAACTCATTAGGATGTGTAAATGGGGGACACGCTGGAAGGCACAGCCTTGATTCAAGTGGGGATCCTGCCCAGGGCCGCCAATACCTTAGTGTGTGCTGGGCAATTAGCTATTCTGATTTATCACAAGAATCTAGAAATCTGATCATTTTTATGAGATGCCCAGATTTTTAACTCTGAGCTAACTCAGCGAGGCTTTAAAATTGTTCCAAGTGTGCAGGGTGGCCACAGTGGATGCAGGACTGGGACAGTTGGAGGAGGTGTTTGCATGGAGCAGTAATGACAGGGTGCCTCAGGGACAGCCATGTGCCTGCAGTAGGGGATGTGTGCTGGGACTGAGGATCTCTGGACCTTGCTCAGCCAGGTGGCATGTACCTGGGAATGGGGCATCCCCGGAACCCTCCTGGATGCCCTGGGCTTTGAGCTCAATGCCCCTCCTCAGTCATCTGTGTACTGGGGTCTGAACTGTTTTCTTTTTGGCCCCACAGGCTGGCCTGATCCGGATGGAAGAGGAGGAGTTCTTCATTGAGCCCCTGGAGAAAGGGCTGGCAGCACAGGAGGGTGAGCAGGGCCGTGTGCACGTGCTGTATCGACGTCCACCCACCCCAGGGTCCCTTCCTCCTGGGATACCACAGAGCCTGGACACAGGTGAGGTTGCTACAAGTGTCTGTGTGGGGCACCTTGGGGTCAGCCTGGATGTTGGAGTCCCAGGTCCAGCGGAGCAGCACCTCCCGGGGTATGCGGTGACTGACAGCGGGCTGGCATTAAACAGCACAGTGGAGTGCTGAGTATGAGTGTGCTTGGTGACAAGCAGGGAAGTGGCCCGAGTGCTGACAAGCAGAGGAGTAGGGAGAGCCCTGATGACATCTGCACCCAGGCTGTATCCCATTCTCCAGCCCCTAATCTCAGTCCCTGTAGAAGACCCTTCTCACCTGTCCACACAGACACAATCTTTCTCTCCTGGCCCATGTGCTGTCATATTCATCACATAAACGTCCTGTCTCAGGACCTGCCCTCTCTCCTGGATGCCCCATCACTGTGTGGACCCTACTTCCTCACTTGAAGACAAGTCAGATCCCATGAAAGGAGGGGTAACGTGTCAGAGACCCGGGAGCTGCCAACAACCTTGCCATCCTCACAGACTCACATTTTATCTTCTTCAACTTAGACCAGAAGTGTGTTCTGGGCCCAGGTATGTGTGTAGGGAGTGGCTGTGAGTCTGGCTCCACCCTCTCCACGCCACCCTGGAGGTGGTCTCACAGTGCCCACCCATATCATCCAGCAGTCTGTGGATATCAGGGTGGGAGTGAGGACAGCGTGAGGGTCTAACTATGGTCTTCGAAGCATCCCAGAATCAGGAGGTAGTCTCCCAGCCTATCCTGTTCTTCCCATGCTTGGCAGGAGAGCTTTCTCCTAGCAATGTGGTGTGTGTATATGGCAGGAAGGTCCCTAGACAGTGTCTGACATTTGTCCTCAGCTCCCAGTGCAGGACCTCTACCCTTGAGTCATGGGTCAGGCACATCTATGTGTTCACTGGGAGTTCTCTGGGGACCCCAGGCTGCGCCCACCCCAATGATGTGGTGGCTTACCAAACTATTGCAATCACTCCAAAGAAAGCCTTGCTCATTTATTTTAGGTTCCTCAACTTCTCTGCTTGACAGATAAATTGGGTGCAGGCTGTCAGGGCACTATTCTGATTTCAAGAAATGGTGTCAGACACCTTTGTAAAGGAATTGTTCCATCAGAAACCCAGTGCTCTCATGAGCCAATCAATACTTCCTCGGCCCCTCCTTCCCCATGGTGCATTGCTGTGAGTCTGGGTTGCAGACAGCGCCCTTCCCCCTCTTCCCATGCACGACCACAGCCTCTTTTTCCTAGGCTGATCCAGCTGTCCTGCCCTGGCCTTACCCAGCCCCTGCCATTTCTGGCCTCTGGGCTTTTCTCCAGGGGAATTGTCACCCTGTAGGGCAAAAGTGACACACAGGGTGGAGGGTGGTGTTTTGGGTCTGGGTTAGAGCTCCTGGCCCTGCTATTGCTATTCAGCTCCTCTTGAGCAAATCTAAATCTCTAGCCTCTGCTCTCCTCCCTGCCAAGTGGGATAGAAACTCTTACTTCTCTGATGGCTCCAAGAGGCAGGGCCTGCCTGCTTCTTACTCAGAGAAGAGCTACTTGGTGCTTTGTTGTCGATGCCTCTGGGCTGACCTCTCTGGAAGACTCAGGGTGACCCCGGGGGTCTAGGCTGGCTCCCAAATTAGATGTGGAAGAACTCCACAGTAGAGCTGGCCAGTGCCCCTTGCTGTGTCTTGGACCCTGAATTCCATGTGGTGCTAGTCTTCCTGGGCATGGCATCTCTTCTCCCTGGCTTGCCGACCCTGCCCCATGCTCTGGGCTTCTGCTGGTGTTTTGGCACCTTTTACTGAATCCTTCTTCCTACCTCCTGCCTGCCTCCATCTGCCTATCTTTGTTGAAATCTTGGAATATCAAGCACTGGAAGAGATTGTGAAACTCTGAACATGCCCAGAATCTACTGGCCTTAGAAGATGCTGGGCAGGGCCAACTGTATAGGTCAGGGTGAGGCTAGACTGGAAGTGGGGTGGGCTGGGGTGGCCATTGGTATACAGAAGAGGTGATCCTGTCCTAGTCTGAGCCCCATCTGTGTCCAGAACGTACAGTCCAAAATGTGAGTCTCGGCTGTAGGCTCAGGATGTAGGGCCAAGTCTTCTTCTTTGACGTTTTTACCCTGTGTCAGCATGACCCTGCTTGGGACCACAGAGTGCATGCTTCTCTTAAAAGGGCCTGATGGTTCCCCCATGCCTTAGGGCTGAGGCTGGCTCTGGCTTTAGGGGACTAGACACATTTCATGCCAGAGCTTGGCTGACGGCCTGGTGTGACCTCAGATGGTTCAGTTTTCCATCAGCCCTTGGCCTTGTCAGGTCTGGAGTGGCAGCCGGCAGACATGCAAAAGCTGTGGCCCATGGTTGAACCCACTTGCTCTGTCCTCTTTCCCACAGGGGAACCTAGAATCTGGAAGAGACTTTAGAGATGGCAGTGTGCAGAGGTTCCCAGGTTGTGCGTGTATAAGCTAAAGGACCCTTTTTTCTGGAAAATTCTGGTGGGAACCCTGATATATCACTGTGGCTTTGGCAGAAGCAGGCAGAAGGTACTGATTGGCAGTTTCCTCCTGGTTCCCCTAGAGAAACTTCTGGAGGGCAGTTGAAAACAGGCCCGTAAATACTGATAAAATAATAGATGGGATGAGTCCTCCAGAGAAGGTGACGGCTTGTCCTAGGCCTTCCAGCTTGGAGTTGCCTTTCTGTGTCTTCAGGGGCCCACAAGACTGCTCTTGAGGGTTACTAAGACACATTTTTCTGCTTTTCCTGAGAGGCCTCCAGGCTGCCGGGGTGACCTCAGAGACTGGTTTTCATGCCGAGTCTTTGTAATCTGGGGTCTGTTCTGTGTTGCCAGTTGCCTGGGTAAAAGATAGGAGTGAAGGTTTCTCATGTTTTTCCATGGAGCCAGATCAGGGTTGGTGCCTGGTCATTGGATGAGCATCACATAATCGTGTCCATCTCTGGCCCTAGAGGAGCTGAGGGAGAGGAGGCAGGCCCCTTTCTCTCCATGTGGCCACAGAAGCATCTGTGCAGAAACTTGCAGGGCCTAGGAGTACAGTAGGATAGGAGGGAAAATTAGCAAAGGATGCCAGAAGGCCACTTGGGAAGAGGTGCCCTCTGCTGTCTCTAGAGCCAGCCCTGTGCCCAGGGGAAATATGTCAGATTGGTGTTGAGTAGCGTAGGTCTCCATTGTCTGTCTGTGTGTACACCCTTGCATTCATGAACAGGCCTAACCCTGGATCTTGGGCTCTTCATGGCACTGCCTGTCATCTCTTGCCCCTGTTCAGGGCTGTTAAGGGGGTAGCCAGTGCCCCAGTCTGACTATAACTTCAGCTGTGCAACTTATAGCCCTGTGGTCTCGGGTACTTTACTCTCCGGTGGGTCAGGCAGCTGTGGCAAACTCCCACAAACGTGTTGACTTAAAACAGCGGACATGTATTCTCTCTTAGATTTCTGTGCCAGACTCAAGGTATTAGCAGGGCCAAGCTCCTTCTAGAGATTCCAGGGAGACTTTGTCCTTGGACTCTCTGGGTTTCTTTTGGCCTCCAGAGTTCCTGGGCTTATGGCCACCTCCTCCAGTCTGCCTATATGGTCTTATCTCTTTCTCCTGTTCTCTATGTCTAATCTTCCTCTGCCTCTCTCTTATGAGGAAACCTGATTGCATTTAGGGTCCACCTGGAAGAGGTGGAGGCCCATGTAGAAAAGCAATGCTGTTGACATTTTTCATTCATTCTCAGGGGACAGTGCGAAGACCATAGTACAGACAGCCTTCTTGCCCTCCTGCTTCCACTGGACACCCTTGTCGATGGCATGGGAGTTCATTCCTGTGTCACCTGAGCTCATTGTCAACTGGGTGGAGTCAGACCGTGGGGCCCAGACAGGCTAGTTGTTGTAGAGACAGGGTCTGACTCTAGCATACTGTTTGAGGAGGTTAGCCTCACTGTGGGCACCAAGAGCCTGGCTGTATTAGCCTTTAAGGGGCAGTCTTGGGCATAGGAGAAGGTTTGCAACTGGTTGAAAAAGATCCTCAGACCATATGCTGGGAATAAGTCTGTCAGACACACAATGCAATTGGCAAAAAGGCCTGCCATACCAAGAAAGGAACTACAAACCCAAGGGCCTGCAGGGGACAGGAAGGCAGTGCTAATAAGTCCAGTGGGCAGAGGGCAAGATAAATAATTATACCCACCCTGAGCCTGGCTTTTATTTTTCTACGTAAAAAAGTTATCATGTTAAATATATATAACAAGAATTTTAACCCTTTAAAGTGTGCTATTCAGGGTCTTTAATTATAGTCACCATGTTGGGCAACCATTACACATTATCTATTTCCAAAAATTTTGCATCTCCCCAAATAGTATAGCTTCAGCAATGACTCTCATTCCCAACTACGTCTACTAACTAGTAATAAGCTTTGCCTCTCTACATTTCCCTATTCCAGATATCTTATGTAAGAAAGGTTGTACAATGTTTCGCTTTTTGTGATTGACTTCTTTAACTCTGAGTAATGATTTCAAGGTTCATGAATTAGGGCTTCATTTCCTTTTATGGCTGAATAATATTCCACTGTGTGGATAAAACCACATGTTGTTTACTCATCTGTCTCTTGATTAACACTCAGGTTTTTGTTGACCATGTACCTGTTTGATTCCTGCATCATGTCTTCTGAGTATAGACCTAGGAGTGGCTCTGCTAATACACAATCGTGTGCTACTTTTTACTACATTTCCCTACATTTGATATAGACATGAACACAGAGAACACTTATCTGCTAAAAGAGCAACTATGAGCACGTGGCAGAACATGGCACTGCTGGTGGCCCAGGGCAGTCTAGAGATCCTTCTTAGGGGCATTAACTGCAGCCCTGATAGAAATGTGGACCCAGGGCAGCCAGACCCTTTTATTGCCAAGAAAGTCCACATCAGAATTTTTATGGGAACACTTCTGACATTAAAAGTTTCTTCAAATTTCTGAAAAACATTCTATGAGCCAAACAAAACATAGTCACCATTGGCTACCTTTTTAAGATGCAGAGGC